TCCATGTACTTTATAACATATTTAAGGAATTCAGCTGTATAAAACAGTATTTGAATCTTAACAGATGAAAATATTTTTCCCTTTTAGCAAGTCTCATGTTGCATGTCTGAGAAAACAAACCAGTCTTCCCTCCTAAGCTTGATAATAGTGCCCCCTAATGGGAATTTTAATACAAGTTTTTGTATTCAAATTTTTAAAAAGCATTTATTCTGTAATCTGAGTAAATTGTCTTCCCTTCAACTAGGAAGTATATTCTGTAATATAAAAGTTTATCTAGATTTTAACCACTCATTGGATAGTTACCCCATGTTACAAAAAAAAAGGAGTTGTGAATAGAAACAAATGAGAAACTTCATGCCCCAACTGTTTTCTACATTTTGAAACATTCTGCAACAGCATAATCCAAGGCAGTACTATCCTAACAGTTTATCTCATTAGGAAATTATCTTTTCCCACGTTTCTAATACTCAGGAAGTAAACAATATGTACCAAATAAAATATATCACAGTCAGAAAAACATCGGTGAAGAAGTCACTCAGTGTAAAATGGCTTCTGAACATAGAGCTGAGATTCCCATCCAAATTTTTTTACTCATATCATTACTTTTCCACAATGCCTAATCACAACTTTGCAACAATGAATTTAATGCCTCTTTCCCCTATGTTCTCAGACAGTTCACCTAAACATCAACAACTCAGTATGTGCTCTTTTAAAAAAGAAAAATGCACTAACATTAAAGAAAAAACATCTGGAAGTAAGTATCAAACAGCCAATAATACTAGTATTTTCATTTCAGTGCTCACAATATCTTATGGACTCAGCTAATGTTAAGAGCAGAAAATAAACAATAAACAAAAAATCATTTATTAGTAACACAAAAAATGATAGTCTTAAGATTATGAGGAGAAAATAATAAGAAAAGTATATATATACATACATATACATACACACACATATATATATAAACAATATAAAATCTATGGCAGGTGTTCAAATTTTCTTACAGCGTTAGAAGGATGGGCAGTGTTCAAATAAAACTTTTATCCACAAAAACAGGATCCCTGATTATAGTTTACCAACCTAATTTAAAACATTTACTAAAATTTTACTTGGGTTAAAAATCTCCACTTTACATGTGGCACAAAAACAAAAACAAAGAAAAAACCCAAACACTCAATAAAACCCAAACAACTCAAAATATATTACTAAAATTATAAAATAATTGATATTTACTTGCATAAGATGAGTGGCAGAAGACCTGAATAAATATTGACCCTGACTGGCTTTATAGGACACAAAATAATGAAAAAGCAAGCAAAAAGGGGGCTTTTCCCAGGATATAAAATTATCCACACATATATAGCACTATTCCAAGATACAACTACACAAAAAGAAATTTTCTTTCATATCTAAGTTTAATAAAAAATATCTACTGGTAACTATATTCTAATGGAAGGTTTGATTTAAAAAAAAAAATCTACTTTTCCAGTGCCCACTAAGAGAATGGGTTAGGCTAGAGAACGTAAAATTCAAATCTGTTACCAAAGGCTATGAAAATACACAGGACACCGTCTTGTATTTTTCGTATGTGTAAGGAAAATGATAAATCTCAATAATTCTTAAAGGTAAAACTTGTTTTGTTCTGCACAAAAAGTAGATTCCAGATATGGGATCACACTGCATTTTCAATGCCTTTTGATCTCTGATATGTACTTCATTCGAAGTCTAAGAACAACACAGTACAGTGGAAAAATCATAATATTTAAACCAGCAACAGACTTCACTTCCTATTCTACTTACTCCTAGTTAAATGATTTAGGACAAGTTATTTATCTAGTATCAGTTTCCTAATCTGGGAAACGGGACTGATCAATCCTTCAACTATGCAGAGTAACAACTGATGGCAATGTACTTATTATACACAGCTAGAATGTCCATATTGTTTTATCACTATTATTATTATTTAGAGCTAAACTGAAATCTCTTTTTATCTCAGGACAGTTGAAACATGTTTTAATGAGCTTCTTAAATGCATGTTGATTGGTTAATTACCTCAAACTCATGAAGTGGTTAACTTGCAATGATCAAGATCTAAAATGAATATATTGTGCTTTACTTATCATAACTGCACTGAATACATTTTTCTTCTTCATGTTTTAAACTAAGAATCTTAGCTTAAAAATATAATAATTATCTGAGAAAACTGTGTGACAGTATAAACTATTCCAGAATGGTTTCTACTCCCAGCAACCAAGTAACCAAACAAGTCACTTTAAGTGAACCCTCTCAAGCTTCTCACTTATAAACCAAAGAAATTATATTAACAACCACTTGTCTTCCAGTCCCACAATTAAGCATCCCCAGACATACTGGTGAATGGAAATAGATACGTCCTAACACTGCCATAATGGACTGCACAGAAATTTCAGCCTTAATCCTGTCAGAAGTATGAATATGTAATAATTCAGATAAAGGCATGGCCAATTTAAGAAAAAGAAAAGATAAATACTGCACAAAGATTTAAAAATGCAAATACTAGTACATAGATTCCTAGAACAAAAGTAGACTTAATTAGTTTCAAGAGGCATAACTTTAGTGAAAACTGATTTGCAGATAAATTGTAATACCAAGGCATTAGCCTTAGCAAGAATATTTTTGCATCTATGATATGTTCAAGGTACTATGACGTAGCTAAGTCAAATGAAATTAAGTAGTATTTTCTAAAGTTAAAAGTGATCAGTTAATAGTTATAGTATGGCACTAGCAAACAGATAAGACATAAGAGCCAGAGGACAGAATAGAAAATCCAGAAATAAACCCTCACTTATATGGTCAAATGATCTTCAACAAGGGTTCCAAGACCACTCAATGATGCTGGGAAAACTGGACATACATACACAAAACAATGAAGATAGACCCTTACCTTATACTATATACAAAAATTAACTTCAAATGTATTAAAGACCTAAACACAGGACTCGAAACTATATAAATCTTCTATAGGGGAAAAAAGGGGAAAAGCTTTGTGGTATTTGGATTTGTCAATGCTTTCTTCAATGTGACACCAAAAGCATAGCCAACAGGAGAACAGATAAATGGAACTATAGCAAAGCTAAAAATTTCTGCAGAGCAAAGGAAATAGTCAACAGAGTAAAAAGGCAGCCTACAGAATAGGGGCAAAGAAATATTGCAAACCACTATCCTATAAGCGATTAATATGAAGAAATTATAAACATCTACATATCAACAAAAAATAATCCAACTTTAAAATGATCAGAGGACTTGAATAGACATTACTCCAAAAAACATATACAAGTCACCAGCAAGTACAACAGGCCCACCTTATCCACAGGTTTGACATCTGTTGATTCAATCAATCTCAAATCAAAAATATTCTGGGGAAAAAAAAGAGGATGTGTCCATGTCATATGTTTTACACAAACGACTTGAGCATCCACAAATTTTGGTATTTGAAAAGGGTCCTGGAACTAATCCTTCATGAGTACAAGTGACAATTCTATCTGAAAAGATGCTCAATATCAGCATTTATTAAGGAAGAGCAAACTAGTAGCAGAAAAATCACAGCACACCTGCTAAAACGACCACTATCAAAAACAGGAAACAGCCAGGCACTGGTGGCTCACATCTGTAATCCTAGCTACTCAGGAGGCAGAAATGAGGAGGATCACAGTACAAAGCCAGCCATGACAAATAGTTTTCAAGGCCCTATCTCAAAAAACCCTTCACAAAAAAGGGCTGGTGGAGTGGCTCAAGGTGTAGGCCTTGAGTTCAAACCCCAGTACAATACTAGCAAGAATGCTGAGAAACTGGAATCATGGTGCATGACTGGCTGAAAGGTAAAGCAGAGCAGCTGCTATGGAGTGTCTTTAAAAAAAAATTAAAAAGTGAAGCCCTTGGGTTCAATCTCAGTACTGCAAAAATAAACAAGCATGGCACCCTCACTTGGGATCCCTCCCAGTTCTGGGAACTCTACTTTTTTCTACTCTTCTATTTCAAAAAACACTCCCGCTTTACGTACAAAATAAATAAATAAAAATGAAATTACCACATGATTTAGCACTACTACTTCTAACTACACCTCAAAAGGAATTGAAAACAGCATCACAAAAAGGTATCTGAAGATCCCTGTTCACTGAAGCATCATTCACAATAGGCAAGAGGTGGAGGCAACCTAAATCTCCATCAACACATGAACAGATTTTTAAAACTGTGGCACATACATATAAGGGAATAATAGTCTTTCCAAAAGAAGAAATCTTGTCATATGCTACATGGATGAACTTTGAGGACATTATGCTAAGTAAAATAAGCCATTAAGAAAAAGAAAACTCTGCGTAATTCCACATAATTCTAAAGCAAACACTTAGATAATAAAAACAAATATAGGAAACACACACACACACACACACACAACAGAGGATTCAGTACTATCTATAGTTTCAGGCTTCCAGGGAGGTGGGGGCGGGGGGTTGTGGAATCTTGGGAATGTATCCTTTGAAAATGAAAGGGAACTACTACAGTACAAATCAGAATCACAAACCCCAAATAAGGCTAAAGTGGAATAGCAGAGTGACTCAAGCAGTAGAGTGCCTACCTAGCAAGTGTGAGGCCCTGAGTTCAAACCCCAGTACCATTGAAGAGAGGAAAGAGGGAAGGGGAGGGAAGCGGAGGGAAGGGGAGGGGAGGGGCAGAGAGGAAAGAGGGAAGGGGAAGGAAGGGGAGGGGAGGGGCGGAAAGGGGAGGGGAAGGGAGTGGAGGGGAGGGGAGGGGAGAGAAAAATGAAAAATCTAAAGTAATGAATTTTATTATATAAATCCTTATTTCCCATAATTTGTGCAATGTTTCTACCCTCTCAGAAATGTAGTGATTAGGTTAATCTGGCAAGATCCCCCAATAATGGATAATCAAGTTACACTGATAATTCAACTAATCCTCTATTGCAGACACTGCAGAGACACATTTGAAATGACTACCCTTACCTTCGTCAAAGTCAGCATCATCCTCTGTATGCTGGGGGAATGGAAAGCAATTGGTAATTTCAAGCCTGTCTTCTACAACCAGGCCCAAAAGCACTCCTTGGACAACCTCAGTTCCTTGTCCTTCTTCTTGATAATGTTTGATTATCTTTAATACCACCTAAAAGAAAATACAGACAGGAGCTTAAAAGCTATTCTAGTTTATATTTCCTTTATTTATAAGAAAAACTACACTAGTGAGTTTGGGAAACCACAAAACTACATAATAGGACTAAATAGATGTCTTACAAACCATTTACTTTAACCTTACATAAATAATAAAGTTAACATAAGGTTCCTGGATACTTAACCCTATTAATGAGATCACTAAACTGCTGTTAAAATCAAAGTAAACAAGAGATGCAAAAAGACATGTGAGCTTAATGTAGCCCTTCAGACAAATTCTAGAACTGACTCATAAATAGCTCGTTTCTACATAACATGCAAAAAGGAATACCTGTGACTAGAATCCAGCATAGTTTCAAAAAGAAGCCAGGTCAAAATAACCTTATTTGCTTTTATAAAGAAAATGGGATAAAAAAATTAATCAACATATTTTAAAACAAGTCATTGTATTTGATAAAAATGTTATTCTTTTCGTACCACTGAACTCTTCTACTCAGTTCTTTACAATAAGCAAAAATTCACCAGTAACAGTACCCAATAGAAATATGGGAAGGCACAGTGGTTTGATTATCTGCTGAATAAAATCAGCATGAGTAAGAATACACAGAAAAGGTTAATTTTAAGAGAGAAAGCTTAAAGCCAGGAGCCCGGGCTCATGCCTGTAACCCTAGGTACTCAGGAGGCAGAGATGAGGAGAGAGGTTCAAAGCCAGCCTGTGAAAATAAAAGAGACTTTATCACGAGTTGAAAAGAACCCATCACAAACAGGGCTGGCTCAAGGTCCACCCCAGAATCGGGGGGGGGCCTTAGACCCCTATTTTGAATTCAATTAATTCAATTCAAATCTCTCTCCCAGTAAAAGAACACTCATAAAGAGCACGTTCCAAACAGTGAAGGATTATCAGGTACTAGAAAATTAGTCTTATTATGGAAAGAGGAAACTGGGGATGTCCACTGTTAGTTTCAATAAAGGAAACTAGACTAATGTGAGAAGCTCAAGCAGTAAGAACACCTGCCTAACAAGCATGAGGCCCTGAGTTCAAATCCTATGCTGCAAAGAAAAAACAAACCTTCAAATTTAAGGATAAATTCTCTCTGGCATTCAAGAGTGCCCAAAATAAAATGCTGTCAGGAAAAACTTAATCACTAAAATAATTTTCAACTCTAATTTTATGATCTGTTTTGATATAATCTGATGAAATAAGGTACCCAGGGGAAAAAAAACACCAAAACTTAGTCAACTCATTCATCATTTTGACATTTCATGGTCTTCCTACTTTCCTATACATACACATTTGTGTTAGTCAGTTTTACATCACTGTGACAAAATACCTGACATAAACAACTTTAAAAAGGGATGTTTTATTCAACATCACATCTTTACCACCTAACAAAGGTACTTTGTGCTCAATGAATTATAAATATTTATCCATCGTTTGATATGTCCAGCATTCTGCTAAGTGTCTTACATGCAAGAAGTGTCTCATTTGATCCTCACAACAGTCCCCTATGAAGTCAGTTATATTATTTTCCCATTTTATATAAAGAAACATGGATAATGTGACATGGAATTATTAAATCCAGGAGATGAGACAATTTCTGAATCTAAGGCACTTTAAATTACTTCACAATAACTGGGTAATTTCAGGTGCTCCAAGCATGTTTTCTGTTTTGTTCTTCTTTTTGAAGTACTGGGACTTGAACTCACAGGGCCTTGCAGTTGCTAGGAAAGCGCTCTATCACGTGAGCCACCCCATGAGTCCTTCCAGGCATGTCTACAACAAAGCTGAAACAGGTATGTCACACTGTCAGCAGTTCTGGCAGAAGCCCCTGTAACAAGGGCTGCAGAAGGACTTTGTGAATGGAGTAGGAAAAGCTGAGGGTAGGGCTACAAGGTCAGGCAGCAAAAGGCTCTGAGGGACCAACGCTGATGGCTAAACTGCTGTTCCCTGACCACTGAAAGTCAAATAGTACAAAGAAAAACCTGTCAGTAGTTCCAAGAATGCAATACAGCTTTTAATCTTTAGCAACACTATTCTCACAAGTCCCAAGATGGGAATGCACCCAAACAAAAATCCTGCTTTCAGTCATGCTCACCAGTCTCCTCTTTCCCTCCAACCAACCATATGCTTCTACCCATAAAACACTGCTGATATATTTTTAGTTAATCCTGTTTATTGATTTCATGCTCCTTGTTCTTACTTTTAAAGACAGATACAGGAAAAGCTTAATAGCTCTCCAAAACAAAAACATACTACCATGATGTGTCACAAATTACCCCATACAGTCAGGAGCCCTGACTTGTTCTGAGGTTTACAAAATGACCCAAACGGCTTGTTCAGATAAAGAGGAATCCTTATACTGGGTACATGTTAGAGCCATCTGGAGAGTTTTAAGATACACTTATGCCTGAGCCCACTCCTTGAATTCAGATGTGATCCGACCTGAGTTCCTATACAGGATTTAAGGGGTTTTTTTCCTTCCTGTTTTGTTTTTAGGTTCTCTAGGTGATACTAACATCCTATTTTATTCTAACTTTTAATGAAACACTATGGTCCAGCCTTCCTTTGGTTTTGTTTTCTTTCCATATAACCGCACAGGGGATTGCAATGCACAATACTGATTAAACATCAGTCTTCTTGCCTCTGCTTAAGGAAGCCAGTGTTGCTAAAAAGTAAGGATACTAAGAAATTCAGACCCCAAAGTGAGCATTTTATTTGTAAAAAAAAAGCAAAACTATTACCCCTAATAAAGGAACTCAGCCCTACTTGGAAGAATCTCTGCAGTACAGAAATGAAAGGGCAAATCAGTAGCTTCATTAGAAGCACTTCAAGTTTTCTTCAGCACAGTAAGTCTTAGGTTTTTAGGGCTGGACCCTAAGACTTAGGAACTAGTGCTGAATGAATTTCTTTATCCTACAAATTAGTGGGTAAATGAGGAATCCTCTACAAATTATGCTTCAAAGGATAAGTAAACTAGATAACAGAAAACTAAAACATCAAATTTTGTAACACCTTCTGAAACTTTGTTACTTTCTGGGTCAGAGTGCTTAGTCTATTTAATTAATTACTGTTCCCTGAATAGTTCAGCTAACTTGAAAACTAACTCACAGATGTCTGAGGTTTGCATTATCTCAAGTTGGGCAAGGGATTATTCCCACTTGTGAGACAGTCAACAGATGTCCTATCTGCTGATGTTACCCTAAAGGGAATACTTTTTTACTCTGTTTATTACATACTACAGATGATGTGAAAAAGCAAAGTAGACCATTATATAATCGCTAATGAACACAATTCTATTATTCTGAGTGCCTGGCTTTAAAAAAAAAAAACAAAAACCTAACTTAGCCCAAATCTAAAGATGTGGCTTCTAAGAAATAGTCTTAAAATAGGGTAAAGTATAAACACCATAAAATGTCCAAATTAAGTTAGTTATATCAGATTAAACAACACTAAAATTTGAAGAGTTAGCAAGGATGGATAAAATATTCTATCCTTCCTAAAAGGGAAGATTTAGCAAAATCTTTAAGACCGCTCTGTAAAAATCCTATTAAAGACTTTCAATTTCATAATGGCAGTTTAAATCTCACCAAAATACAGATTATACTTTACTGATGAACTTTAATAATTTTCTAACAAATATGCTATCTGCAAAAAACAAAACAAAAAAAAAACAGTAACTGCAGAGTTGGGATCTTTCTGCACAGAATGACTACACTTCTGTTATCTTCGACTCCTCTCATTCACTCATATATCTGTTGACACACTTCTACAACTTAGTCACCTCTTCCAGAACCTAGGAATATGACATTAAATCAAACAAATAAATCTGTATTTTCATTGGGTTCATATTTTTAGGCAAGACTCAAACACAGTTTCTCTTTGCTTTCATACAACCCAGATATGTAGGGTTTTCCCATACCAAGCAGTTCTTCAGAATGTCCAGACACCAGCTGAGTATCATAAGAATTTAATTCAAGTCTGTCACTATCTACCTCAAGTTGGTTTCAGATCCCAAATATTAAGAGCTCAGTCCCCCAAGACTGCCCTACTTCAGATGTCAATCACTAGTCCAGGTCTCTAGTGCTTCCAACCAACCAGTTGTACATCAGGGGTATCCTCTTTGGGTTTATCAATTTTCTCAAATACATATTACTTAACACTTGCTAATGTTATATAAGAAATTATAAATAGGACACAGAAGAACAGATAAAGAAATGTATTGGTCAAGATATGGGAGGGAGGCCTGCCACCATACCAGATCCTCCAAACATTCAGAATCCCAAGGTTCAACAAAGCTTGTGGTTCAAGACCTTTAATAAAGATTAATCATTTGCCCTACTGAGCTGGAGGTGTGGCTCCAGTGGTTAAGCACCTGCCTATCAAGTGTGAAGCCCTGAGTTCAAATCCTAGTAACACACACACACACACACACACACACACATATCTCTCCTGCCCAATCCCCTCCTCTCCAGATGTCAATAGGGCTTAAAATTGACTACTTGGTCTTTCTGGTGAGCAGCCCCAGCCTAAATCACCTCATTAGCATAAACTATGCCCTGATCAAATGAGGTTAATTATGAATAAACAAAAGCCACTCCTATTAATCAAGAAATTCTAAGGGTTTAGTAACTCTCTTGACAGGAACTGGGAATAATGATCACATACATTTTACCTTGTACCACAGGACCCTTTAAAGTGTAAAAAAAAATTTAAATTGCCAAGCTCACAGCTATAATCCTAGCTATGAACTGAGATCAAGAGGATCTCAGTTGGAAGCCAGTCCAGACAAACAGTTCAGGAGACCCTATCTTGAAAATACCCAACATAAAAAAGGGCTTTGAAAGAGTAGCTCAAGCTACAGAGCACCTGCCTAGGAAGCATGAGGCCCTGTACCATCAAGAAAAATTTTTTTAATACTGAAAAATAATGAGGGGCGAGGTGGCCCAAACAATGTATACATATGTGAGTAAATGTAAAAATGATAAAAAAAAAAA